TATTTTTTACAAAGTAGAATAGGGCAGTATGTTTGATCAACATTCCATTTGCTTCTTAAAAATTTAGACAAAGTTCCTAGTGCATTTTATTAAACTTTACCTTTGGTGTTAAGCAGTGACTTCTTAGATTTCCCTTTTAAACAATTTCTGGAGTGAAGATTCTTTGGCTTTGGGGGACTATGCTATCTAATGACAGTTAAACATCTTTTTTATTTTTTTGTAAAGAAAAATATAAGTCTACTATTAGATACCATAAGAGATACAGATTTCAGAAACAGAGACGCAATATGCAGGCTTTCTGTAATGAAATCACCAACAGCTGAATTCTCACTTACCCTGGATTCCTTCACCTCTCCACTCACTGGAGCAACATAAAGGTTCCTTACTGTAAGTGAAAATCAGGCCCTATTTGTTTATGCTAATCTGAGTACTGAGTGCCAAGCTACTATCTTCTGTTACCTGAACATTTTAACCATACAAAAGGATCGATTGTGCTAGCAGTAACATTGCCCCAATGGCTATTTTACACTACAGTACTTTCCGTACTTCTTTATATCTGGAATCCAAATCTGTTTATGCAAAAGGGTGTTTAAATTACTCTGCTAGAGCACTGCAATTATTGTACTTAGTAAAAAAAAAAAAGTCACTAAACAATTACTGTATCTATTGACTGCTCATTTACAGCTTATTTAATTATTTACATAATTTTAGGACACATTAACCTAAACCATAAGTAGAATTAGCTTTTTGCCTTACCATAAAGTACAAATTAGAAGTTAAAAATGTTTAAGAAATCTGATAATATTTACACACGTTCAGCTTAAGTTATGGTTGCTCACATTGTATGTTCTATGTACACATAGCAAAATGTTAAGATCACTACTGATATAGTATTGTACCCTGGCCATCCCACCCTAGATTATTTTCTAGAAATAGTTAATATTTTTGCCTTTTTTTCTTGGTTCCCTAAGGAGTTTGTTGGTTCTGAAAACTTACTAGTGGACAATGCTGTTATAAAAAGAGAGAAGAAATAGGCAAGCAATGTGAGGACTAGTCTAATTTCAGATGCTAGGAGGTACAGTACTATCATCATGTCAAACGGTGCAATGCTTCATACGAATTACAAGCATTGATCTGCTGATATAGAAATGCCCAGTTACCCTGTATAGTAAGTTGTTTTTTTTAAATACATGAATCTTTTTTTCTCAAAAATATATTCATACACTGGTTGATGGTAGAAACAAAACTATTATTAGCTTATTCCTTTGAACACGCCAACATATGAATGTGTGTGCATATATATATACTCAGTATGTGTATATATACACACATATGTCCATACAGACATTTAGGTATATGTCCATATACACATATAGCTGGAAAATGTTTAACATCCGTTCACCTATGTTTAGTACTGTGTTGTAATATGGAATAGGAACACAGTCTAATAAATATAGTGAAAATTAATTGAGCTTCAATTTTAATGCATATTTGTCTGAAATAAATAGGATTTGTTCCCCAGGTGTGAGACCCCCACTCATTTTCTCTATGCATTGTGCTTTTGTACCTTACAGATTTTATGTCCTTTGTATTAGAATGTAAAAACTCTCTGAAGAACCCTGTGACATGCTGTTATCTAAGACTCTGTTTTCCTCCCCTGGGAATGAGAAAAGAAATGGTCACAATGTCATTGCTTGAGTCTTTCTTCCCAGTCATTAAACTGCGATAGGATAGAAACATAACATTCTTTATGCAAACACAGAAATATGTTGCATGAATTTTCAGTTCTGAAAATGTGTATCATACTTACTAGCAGTCATGTACAGTATATATTTACAGATTGATCTCAAAGATTTCTTTAAAACTGTGCCATGTTATAGTCATAATTTGCCCATGAATTTCACGAAGATGAAAAACACCTTAATTGCTGGCTATCATGTTTAACAGAACAATAAAATGCACAACTATAATTATATTACAATGTTTATCTATATTATTAACTTTGATATTTTGATTATTGAAACTAACAACAATGAACATTATTAAAAGGATCTAGAATATTCATTTTAGGTCAAATCTAAACTAAAAGCAAATTTATTCTAGTTTACCTGGAGGGTAGCACACAAAGCAAACCCCATATGTTGGCATAATTTCTCACTTTCACTCAAGTATCTCAGAAGAGGAGTAAGTGCTCACCTTGGGCTCGAGTTACACTTTTCCCTTGGCAGTGTCTCGCCAGTCCATCTTTCTCACCCCCATCTTTTTGTATCACAGTGTTAAGCCTTAGTACAAAATTATAGAATCCTTCTCTTTCACTAATTTTATACATCGCATTGATAGCCAGAAGACATAGTAAAATCAAAAGTGCTCCTTCCCCGCAGATAATATAGCTTTCCTAGTGACACCTGAGCAGAAACCAGACATTTTCTTTCACTCTCTGAATAGCAACATCAGAGAGTATTATGGCTTGTACTGTAACTTTAGATAAATTACTGTGCAGTTCTAGGATTCAATCTCTGTGGTTTTCATAATAGCTGATGCAGTAAACCAATGCGGAGAGTCAACATATTCTCCGTAAGGTTTTATATTTGATGTGTATCAACCACAAACAGACTGTGATGTCCCTGTATTCACACTACGCTTCTGTGAAATAAAAAAGGATTTGACAGCAATTTGTGAAATGAAAGGAAAGCTTGTACCGAAGAAAACTGTAAGACTGCTTTTATTCATGACAATTAATACTGTTTTCAAAGAACAGACTTTGAAGAGAAATACTGAATTTTGATGTGGCTCCTTTTCTTAGAATTGGGAAAAAGTTCCAACATGATTCATACTGATCAGTTGAAATTCCAAATGCTTACTGCGTTATGCATGAAATGCAGTCAGAAATTAAGTGTGTGAACAAAAAGCAACATTTTGATCTAGAAAGTTAATCACATGATGAAAGCCTGTCTCTGCTTATTGCAGAGTCTGAACCTGGAGGCAGTACATGAACGTACACACAACTCCCTTGAAAATAACAGGTGGTGGGTACACCTGGCAAATCCCACTTCAGGCTCAAAACTATTCTTTCCCATTTGAAGCAGAAATAAGGATATGAAATGCTAACAACAAAAAAAAAAAAAGTCAGAAAATTGGCCTATTAGTTCCCAGAACTGTTTTCCTCCTATCACTGTCATTGACTGTCAAATGTGGAAAAAAAACCCCACAGAAACTTGTAAGAAAATTACTCTCTTAAAGCAAGAACAAAAAATTCAAAGAAAATGTTTTATGAAAAATATTCTTAAAAATTATCTTAAAGTATTGACAAAGGAATACTTAGACAAGGAAAAAGTATCTGCCTGAAAAAATTCCTTTGCTGTTTGGAAGATACTTGAATTCTAGTTTCTTTCAGAAACTTGTACACAGGTAAGAGGTAGTATAGAAACAAAAGATGTAGCTTTTACTTCATGAAATATTTTGTGTCAAACAACACTGGGGATCTTATTTTGTAAAAGCCATCAGGAATTTGTACTTTTTATACATTTCTTGCAAATTCAGTTTTTCATTACAGAAAGGGTTCCACAATGGACTAAATGGCAAACTCTACTTTGCCTATAAAATCATATTTTTTGTCTATTCTATTTTGCTTATAAGAATAAAGCTCTATGGAATGAAAGAAAACTTTTTTATTTCAAAAACTTTCCTAAGGCAAAACTGAAATTTACTAGTTTTTCAATGGAAATCACCCTAAAGCAGGAAACATTCAAGAGTATAATTAAACTCCTTAAGCGATGGCAGCCAAATTTTTCCCTTTAAAGCAGTGCATTAAGGAAAACAAAAAATAGAATGGTATTGCCTAATATGTACTGAGAAAGTGCCCTGTCAGTATTTTTGTACTGAAGTACATGTTTGGATCTTCACTGCTGAAAGAGGTACGATACCTTTAATCGAACTGGATGTAAGGTGTTCAGCATAACAACAAGGGCAAGCATAACTCTGGAAAGATTGCAAACTTGGAAGAAATGACACAACTCCACATGAGTATTTCAGACTAAGGAATGTACCATAACTGCCAATGTTCATTTGCACATTCTATGTGTATACACACACACACACTCATATACACACACACTCTTTTATGTACATGTAGCTATCCCTCTCCTTGGCTCTGTATTTTATAATTGCTCTCTAGCTCTCCCTACCCTAGAAAGGCAGTGCACCATTGGTTTCCTTCAGCCACCTAGAGAATTAGTATTTGGCCAACCAATTTTGGCACTTTGGACAGATATTTCCTTTCCCCAACAGCAGCATATCTACCCATTCAGAGTTGATGCATTTTTATACCGTTGCTACATTCCTCTACTGATCACAACTACAGTCACTGGGGTTTTGAGCGTATGTTCTCTCCTTTAAATCCAAACAAAACTAATGCTATTTGCTTCCACTTCTGTGCAAACACCCAACCCTAATATTATCAGTCAAAGGTTTTGTTCTTTCAATAAATAACAGGAAATACCTGAATATGGTTGGGAAACCTCTGACCATCATCATCTTGGAAAGATGATAGGCACTACTTGTTTTCAAGTTTACACATTTAAAAGGTAAAGTGTATATGTTTCATAAGCATGATAACAATGAAGTACACTCTCTTAAGTGTCGATGCATGTCTCAGATATGCAGTTTCCCTGGGAATGGTATGTACTGCTGTTGAAACTAGAACTTGTTTCTCAAATGCCACTCTCTTATCTCTATCACTAAACTCAAATGGTCATTAAGAAGAACAAAAAGAGAGAGTGAGGGACAATGAGACAGAAGCGATTGTCAAAATCCAATTTGCCTTCACACTCAAAATGCACTTAAATTTGGATCATGAGATACGTCCGTACTGCAAGTTAACATATTTACGATTTAGCAGATACAACCAAAACATTATAAAAACAGACCATAGAGTGGGCCAGCAACTAAGGTGTTTTAAAATAACTTTTTGTCCTGAATAGAATTTTTGTAAGTCCCACTTTTGGCTGTACAACTGATTTGAAGAGAAATCCAGTTCTTGCTTCCTGTGTGGCTTTGCTTCTTAGTTCACATAGTAAAGCCAATAGACAATATTGAAGAAGGAAAAAACAACAGGGAAAAATATGCGCGACCATCGATCTATGGCATTTACATCAGTCAAGTCAGGAATGGTAATTTTCAGTTGAGATGCACGTCTCCGTAGCCTACTTTTCTTCTGTGCCACGTGTCGCTCCAGGGCGTTGCGACCAAAGCTGTGTCTGGGTAAGCCAGCTTTCCGGTACTGGATGCTTGAAGTGTCATAGGCCAGCATAGTGCTTCTAGGGTCCCCAAGCCCCATCACAGCCTCAGAGGCAGCCATCTCGTTTTTAATTTCAAGTGTGCTCAACAAAATGTTTTCATGTGGGTCCATCTGTAAAAAACAAGAAAGCAGATTTAACAGGAGAGGAAGGAAGCCCAATCAGTTGCAAACTGAAGCCATGCTGACAAGGGCTAGATCTTACATTACTAATTCACTGGATGTAAGCCTGTTTAAAAGGCTTTAAGCATATCTGTAACTATATTTATTGTCTTTTTTTTGTGAACTCTAGGAGCAATAAGGCCAGTATAGTACAATAGAATAAATGGTATTTCCCTAGACCCCATGGTTCAGTGAGCAGAAGCAGTACCTGGAAATGAAGTACATGCTCCTGAAAGTGGGATTCTGCCAATCGGTAGGACATGTGGGGCAAACATTGAACTTTTCATGGTTTTTGGAGGGAAATCAAATGGGAAAGTCTCTCCCTTGTTTTCGTTTTGCTTCTTTCAAATGAAACCTTCTGACAAAAACTTAAAGTATTCATAAGGTCTCTCTGCCTCTGCAAAACAAGGCCCAGAGCACTGCACAACAGAATGCAAATTTTCAGTCCCTATAATCCAAACAGGACTGCTGGTTACTTGGGGAAAGGCACTGACAAAGTCTAACTATACCTATGTGGAAACCTCATTCCCCAGTGCTAATGAATTTCGTGCTGTGGAGACCTGAACACTGGAGTAGCAGAGATCTGCAATTCAGAGCAAGGAAAAACATGTAGAGTGTAATCACATCAAATGTACATTGAACGGTTGTTTCAATGGGTAGTTCTAGCTACTATATATATTTTCAAAGACAGCTCATTGAAAAAATATTAATGCAATGTTGTAAAAAAACCCTTAGACAATTAAGAGGATTTTAAAGATGAGGAACTAAATTCCACTCTTAGGCAATCTGGAGTAGATCTGAAGTATGGTAGGAGAACTTCTAAATAATCCATTTAGAGAAAAGAAATATAAGGTTATTTAGGAAGTCCTAATTCTCCTCATCCTTCCATCTAAATATATATTTTGAATTGTGTGATTAGAGAGTATAATTAAATAAAAATACTTTAAAAGCAATAATAGCTAATGAACAGCTAATTAAGTACACTGACTTAGTGACGGTAGTGCAGATATACTCCAGGCCAAATAAGAGACGAAACCGTCCCAGAGCTCCTTTAAGAATAACTCATCCGCATTATTCATTTATAATGTACATAATATATGCTATCAAAGTGCACAAACTATGTGGATTTCTAAACAATAATATGTCATTAGTCTATTCTGTAATATTTAGAAGCCAGCAGTCAGCAGCAGGTACCTTGCTGCGCTACCCAATATAGCACTGTATTTGCCATTATTAAAAAAAACCCCTATGTAAATATTTCACATGGCATGGTGAGAGAACTGGATTGAAAACAGCTGCTTTTTAATAGCACCCACTGCACAGTATTATGAACTGGGAAGCTGGATATTCACAAAAGTACTTTGGACCTATTGAAACACTGCCATTTGAGTGATTACATCTGTTCAAGTGATGCATAAAAACTGGCATCGCTGAGATGCCGGATTTGCCCCCTCTCTGTTTTTTTCCCCATATATGTGAGTTTGCACCCCTCTAGTTCCATTATATTTTACTTTTAGATTAAATGTAATGACTTAGTGTGAAGCAGCCAAAATCATCTATTTTTGCTTACTTGCCATCAAAGCCATATGTAATCTCTGAGTTTTCTAGTGTGCTAGGGAAATTAATCCTTTTTGAGAAGCACTGGAAAAATGGGAAAGTTGAGCTGGAACTCAAGAAAAATTCCTTTAAGTACTCTGCAGCATGATATTGAGCATGGTGAGGAAACAGTGTGTTCTAGTCAGGAAGGCCATCAAATCAGTTCTCATCTGCATTAGACAAAACTAAGGCAAAAAGAGTATTCTGTATTGTAACAAAAGCAGGCATATGCAAAAGGTTTCAAATAGATCTATGAAACTTCTCAAGAGAGCTTTCAAATGTTTTCTTGTAACGAGCACAGTTATTCAGAAAATTCTCATGTGATTTTTGGGGTAAGACAAAATTAACTGTCATTTTTGTTATAAGATCTCTGACAAATAATATCCTGAAAGTAAAAGC